ACTGGTATGACATTCATTAAAAATAATTGAAAGAATTACACACAATTAGTGAGCTACTCGTACCTAAGGAGCAGACACTGGCTCTTCACTCACTTGGCACACTACCATAAGCCCCAAACTTCTGTTGTTGTTTAAAGATTGTATACTATATATGGAGACAAATTAAATATTTAGAGATAACTAATCAGCAGAATGAGAACTACAGTCTTCAATACCCCACAGACCAATGAGAAACTAAGGCTGAAAGATATAGTTTGGAATACTGATTTCCTAAGAGCACCTGATTGCAGGAAAAGAACAGATGGTCTCCAAACAATAAAGAATCTAAATAAATACACATTTCAGTATGACACATAAAGCATGTGGTCTGAAATGATAAGAAGTATGTAGAAAAGCTAATTAATCACTGTCACCAACAAAACAACACATAGAAAGGCACAGAATGTTCCAGGTAAGCCAAAAGTGGGCAAATTCATGTCTAACAAATGGATAACAATTGACCATGGCAGATTTCTGACACACCTGTTTCCAACGTTTCAAAGCTCTAGGCTTTCATTACAGTTATATAACATTACACTGTTTGCTTTGTTTCTGTTCACATGTTCATTTGATCTGGGATTAGTAAACATGTATTATATAGAAATCAATGCAGTGTAACTAAATCGAATGCAAAATTTAATACTGATTGTAAGAAACACAATAGATGAAATTCACATACTGATTACAGGAGACTAGCTAAACACACAGACTCTGGTACCAAACTGCCTGGCTTTGGTTAATCTTGGGTTACTTAAGTTTTTTCTGCCTCAGATTCCCCATTTGTTAAACAGAAAATATTAATAAGACCTAATTATTCATTGGTTGTTATGGGAATTTAATTGATTAATAGTCATAAAGAACTTAGACCAATACCCAGCACATCATAGGTACTGCATAAGTGTTAAATAAACAAATAAGACCTTTAAAACCACTTGATTTTCCTCCCTGGAGCTAAGGAGATGTCAGAACTTCTGGGACTATGAGAGTAGATACAGGCCGAAAACCTCCACAGGTTATTCTAGTAGTTCCTCTTCTTGCCTCCCTAACCATATCCCACCAAGTGAACTAGATTATCTCTTAGTTTATTTAAATGAAAGTTAAATTAAAAAGATAAATTATCCAACTGGAAACAAAACTTTAAAATAATTTCCCTTTCTAACACTCTGTTTTAAAAGAACAGTCTTTTTCTAACTTTACAAAGTTAAGTTTTAATAGAAGCCTGCTCATCTTCCAGCAGATATCAGGCCCCATTAAATCACTCAGTCATTTTTATACCAGCCCTCAATTAGTCAAAGCAAAAGTTTAATCGTTGTTGGCTAGGTGATAAATTTCTTTCAAAGAAATCAGTCATTTGGACTACTGTTTCCAATTCTGGGAAGGTAAACATTAAACTCAAATTAATATAAATTTCTATGTCTAACTTATGGCATCAAACCTTACCTAGCGCAATTACAATATTGGTTCTTTAAAGACACAAGCACTGAAATGGAATTGACTATGGACCAGGGAGAAATGGAAGAAAACATGAGACTAGACATCCAGGGGCAGGGGTAAAGGGGTACTCAGAATATCTACTCAGTTTGCTAGAAAATGTTCAAAACTGTATCATAAACATCCTGGACAAAAAGTGCCAGGATCTGTGAACAATATTAAGGTCTGTGACTAGGAAGTTGGGTGACATGTCAAAGTTACTCTAAGATGCCCTAGAAAAAGTGTCTCAGTTCTTTGGTCTATAAACAAACATTTTAGGCAATAGTAAAGTAACAACATACTCCCAATCAAATTCAGCATTGCTCTAGCTCCATCAGTGGCACAAATTCTACCTGCCAGGGGCATTGAATTCCTTGAGGGAAAGGTTGCATGCATGTATTTATGTACTTACATTTCTGACAGTTTTCTGCATGACAATCTCACATCCTAACTTTCTGGACCACATAAAATAGAAATGCTGATCAAAAATGCATACACTCATTTAGAAAACCATCACAAAATAAATGTCTCTCCCTCTGAATTATGTACTTCAAACCTTCTCTCTCTCTCTCTCTCTCTCACACACACACACACACACACACACACACACACACACACGGTGGCTCCACATGAGGATCACAACTTGAAATATTTGGTAATAAAGTCAAGAAGAAACAATAAAGATTTGCTCAGATTATAAAAGGAGGCAGGGAAGTTAATTTTCAAGGACCACTCTAATGTTCTGCTCCTTCCAAATTAGCTGTGAGTTTGTACTACACTGGCTTAGGATAAGTCACTGAAAGATAAGAAAATGAATTTCCTTTAGGAATGGACCCTTGCACTTGGAGTTAGCCACTAATATGTAAATGGTGCGATCCTGGGTAGCTCAGAATTGATGGTTAAACTGAGAGTACAGAGGAAATCAGAGTACAAAATCCACTGACTTCCACTTTTTACACAAAAATATTTTTTCATTATACTAATAGCAAACTTAACTCTGGTTTTCTACTACTTAACAGCTTATTAACCTAGTTAGAACAATGAAGACAAAATTTATCAGAACAAAACCCACTATTTTCACAACTTAAAAATTCTGCTCACCTATGTATTAGTTTTTCGGTTTTTGTTTTTGTTTTGTTTTGTTTTTTAAGAGAGATCCCTGTCTTATGTTTCTCTGTCACTCCCTCAACACCCAAAACCCTGCTCCTCACCTTCTATTGAACAGGTGCTCATTTCAGGAATGGTCCTCATTGTTCACTTTCTTGGCCCTCTGAACTACATAAAGACCACCCTCCTAACTTGGGTTGCCCTAAGAGTTTGGCTTAAAGAGATCTATACCTACTCCTGCCGTTTTATGTATCATGGTAACATGAATGTTTTTACATAACAGAATCCATTACATGTGACATATGCCTGCAGCATGGCTTTCAGGTTCTTTTGGTAGTCTTGCATCTGTATTTTAAAAATGATTCCTGGCCAGGCTCAGTGGCTAAGCCTGTAATCCCAGCACTTTGAGAGGTCGAGGAAAGAGGACTGCCTGAGTCTGTGGGTTTGAGACCAGCTCGGGCAACTTGGTAAGACCGCGTCTCTACAATAAATCAAAAATTAGTCAGGCGTGGTAGTGCACGCCTATTGTTCTAGCTACTTGGAAGGCTGAGGTGGAAGGATTGCTGGAGTCCAGCAGGTCCACACTGGGGTGGCCATGAGTATGCCACAGAACTCCAGCTTGGGCAACAGAGTGAGACTCCACTCAAAAAAAAAAAAAAAAAAAAAAAAAATTCCTTTCCTCTACCTACTCCACTTGCTTTATTTAAAGAGACCCACCTTTTCATCCCTTTCATAAAAACAAAACCAAATCAACCAAAAAAAAAAAGCCTTCCAAACAAAACTTATACAATGTAAAACCAACAATAAGTAGCTGAGTTGATCTTTCATAATCATCACTTCCTCATTCCAAACCACATCACCTATAAAACCAACAACATATATTTTATTGCCTTGTGTTTCCTTTACCCTTTTCCAATGTATACATTACCAAATAATTCCAGTGGGTAATGTAATATGTAGAGTTAATTTTAAATTTTTAATTCAAATCTATTTCTATTTACTTTTTTTAGGAATAGTTTAGGAGCTCTCCAGAACAATTCCCCTAAGATAACATAATTACCAACTTCTAAGGCTGCAAAATACAAAAAAAAAATTAAACTACATATGAAGTATACATCTTACAATGAACTGGACAAGCAAGTTTTTTAAAACATGATAATCTCCACACATTAAATATATGTGTAGATTTATATAGTTATATAGAAAATTATTTTTCAGCTTTACTTAGTGATACTAGAATGGCACTTGAAATCTTGGATTATAACTTTAGGCTTTCTTTGCTAACTCTCCTTTTATATAATAGGGCTTTATATGAAGAGCACTCAACTACTTTATTCACAGACTTTAAAAATTAATAATGGTGGCTTATAAATAAGGAAACTTCTTAACACATTACATTTTCTTCCAGACTAGAAAAACATGTATCAGCCATATTTGATCCTTGGTTTTGAAAGTGAAAAACAAGTACTATTCCTTTACAATGGCTGCATCTAAAAATTACTAAAATCAGAAGCTAACACAGAAACATTTGGACATATGAGCAACTCAAATCTAGTCATACTACCATCTTCTCAGATTATAAGGAATTACTAAAAGATAAATACTTCAGCAAAATATAAACATATTGAATACAGAGGATGAAATAGGCACATAAAACTGTTTTCATGGTAAAGTGAGAAGGAGCTGTATTGAAAACACAAATTTTAAAATAATAAAATAAGAACTGAAGTAAAATTGTCCTCAGGAAAAAAAAAGTAATGTTCTAGTTATAGGGTCAGATGGATGCACCACGAGAAATTTAGAAAATGGGTAAGGACTAAAGGCCTACTATTAGTAACACTACAGTGTGTATTACCTCTTCTAAAGCACAAGTGAATGAAACAATTTCATCTAAACAGGAAAACCAAACTTAAGAGTACACCAGAAAATTATTTAGCAAAAGAACAGGAAACAGCAGCAGAGAAAAAGAATAATAGAACAAGAAAGAGTCACCCTATATATTTTATTTGAGAAAAAGTCCTTCCCCACATTTTAAAAATAGCTTACTTACAATTGTATTTAAAGACATTTTCCTGTCACAAAGGACCCTGTAGAAGTTACATAATCTATTTCTCCTAATTAATTTAGACATTTTTCCCACTATGAGTACAAGGCCTCATAAGGAGGTTGTGCAAATGTGGGGACCTGAAGCTTAAGCTTTGCTTGCCCCACTAGCAGCCTCTGTACAGCAAAAGTTCCTGAAAGAATTGTTTCTGGAGGATGTATTTTGTTTGGTCTGACTTCAAAAGGTGAGATTTAAAAAACCAACCAAACAAACAAATAAAACACCATAGCAGAGTCCACCAGTGAGTAGGATAATGGTGCCACCAAAGGATGTGTCTTACCATACAAGTATCTAGATCTTCCAAACGCTCTATCTCCGTGAGCTCCTCCACTGTGATGATGGAGCGTTTAACTGGTTTCTCCTCAGCCAGCTCGATTTCTAAAGACTCTTGTTGAGGAAGGGTCTTGCCACGTCTACTGAAATGGTCGGCCTAGAGGGTCAAGATGCATACCAAAATCAAAGCATAAAGACAGGGGAAGAGCGGGTTAGCTGGAGTCCTGAAGACACCTTTCACAAGATGGCACAGTGGAGACTGACGTGGGCAAGTGGTTAACAACAGAAATTAATACATTCACAATGGAGTAACTTACCTGTTTTATTATCTTTGTTTGCAGGGCATAGTGTTTTAAGACCGAAGTCACAAATCTCTCTTAGTAAATGAGAGACTATTTAGTCTAGAATAAAGTAAATAGTGGTCTTTTTGTTCATTTTAATTGATATTTCCTCTGAAGAAATTCCCTTCTAAATATAGTGCTTAAAAAATATCTGAGAGACTGGCTGGGTGTGGTGGTTCATGCCTGTAATCCCAGCACTTCAGGAGGCTGAGGTGAGCAGACTGAACCCAGGAGTTCATTACCAGCCTGGGCAAAACAGCAAGACCTGTCTCTACAGTAAATCAAAATATTATGCATGGTGCTGCATGCCTCTATTTCCAACTATTTGGAAGGATGAGGTGGAAGGATCCCCTGAGCCCAGCAGGTTGAGGCAGCGACTGCTAGTCGGCAGTCAGTAGCCACTGCACTCCAGCCTGGGCAGCAGAGTGAGACTCTGACTCAAAAAAATAAAAAAACAAAGTATCTGAGAGAAATAAAATGATTACAACTTTCATTATTTTTAAAATATTGAAAGAAAGGAAATTACTAACAAAATTTTAATTATTGCTAGATTTCACTGTTTTCATATAACAAATACCATTTTTGAAATAGTTTATTAGTTGCCAATGTTATAATTTAGGTAAACATAAAAAATTAAATGGTAAAAAGCAGAATTAGCTGGGCTGAAATTAATAAACTCCAGTGCTGTGCAGATCAGATGCCAGGAACTTTGACCTAATATCTTGAAACAATGAGAACCAGTTGGTAAGTCTATGGAAACTTTGGGAGTATTTCTAAACTCAAGCAGGAGAAAATGATATCTGCATGTCTTTGAAAATAAAGTTTCACTTTTAAGATATTATTTCCTTCTTATGGTACGTAATCTCTTTCTTATCATCCAAATCAGCAGTATTAATGCTAAAAGGAATTTTAAGCCAAAAGTACATTCACACTATTATTTTTCAACTATTAAAAAATAAAGTCAGCTGGGCTCGGTGGCTCAGCCTGTAATCCCAGTACTTTGGGAGGCCGAGGTGAGTGGATTGCCTGAGCCCATGGGTTCGAGACCAGTCCGGGCAACTTGGCGAGACCTCATTTCTACAATAAATAAAAAATTAGCCGGACATGGTAGCGCGTGCCTATAGTTCCAGCTACTTGCAAGGCTGAGGTGGAAGGATCGCTGGAACCCAGCAGAGGTTGAGGCTGCGGCTGCGGTGGCCAGGAGCATGCCACTGTACTCCAGTCTGGGCAACAGAGTGAAACTCCAACTCAAAAAAAGTCAATACTTTGAGTAAATTCTTCAAAAAAGTACAACTGCAAAAAAGTGAAAAGCAAACTTTCATGTAGTTCTCACATACAGAGTTCTGTTGGTACAATATCTACTCTTTGTGTCATAATGTGAGCATTTTAAGGCAGTCCCTAGAGCTATGGGTTGTCAATAAACTGTTTCTTAAAAGGATGTTCCTCTGATTTTGTATGTGCTTACTTTAAAAAAAAAAAAAAGGCTGAATTGGGAATCTAAACACTGATGTAGCTCTTTACTGTGCCAGGAACTAGAGAATAGTATTTCTTAAATTCAGTGTGATAATGAAGCAGTTGTTTGTTTCCAATTTGGCATAAACCAATATATTGATAAAATACAATAAAAATGAAAAATTAGAAAAATAAAATGTGTTTGGATGTTGTGACCATGTCAAATTTATGAAAAGTTTCTGGATACTTTTTCTTGGGAACCATCTGTTTGTGGGCCAGCTCTATTCCACAGGCAATACTTTGTGTAGTACTGTTAGAGACATCTGTTTCATCTTTTAGATTTTAGAAGATAGTCTTACATATTTTTCTCAAATGGATATTTCAAAATATGTATTTTGTCTGCTTCATGTAGAAGAAGCTATTTCTGTTCCTCTCATTTTTGTATTACTTAGTGTTAACCAACAATTGTCAAAAAACTGAGTATCTCCATCCCACGCAGTTAATTTGAATTTTTTTCTTGGTGAAAACACTGTCATAACTTGCTTGGGAGATTTCTACTGCATCATATTGCTAATATTTTTGAGATATAAGTTATAGTTAGTTATAATACCTTCATCTGCCTCAGAGATTTCTTAAAGTTTGAGAAATAAGAAGTTTGATATATTTTTTCATATACACTGATATTGGAAGTAAAAACCCCTACTTTGATGTAGACTCAGTCTCTAGATGATCATCTCCTAACAAAATTTTGACCTGCATTATAAATGAACAGTGAGATTTCTGGATACAATCACTTCTGCTTTCCCCTGACATTTCTTTTAGAGAAAGTGTTAGACTGACCAGAATGACTAGAAGCAATGTAGAAGAGGAAGGAGGAAAACCAGGATCATAACCCATAAAGATGTAATGGAGCAAAATGTAGAAAAGAAAACCACTTCTCTATGCTGGAGGCTGTCCTGCATCACAGCACAGCTGAAACAGGAGATCCTACTCAACATGTGTGGAGCACTCACCAGTTTATGATGGCAATGTGAGAGTGCATCCAGGATTTCATCCACGATTCGATCAGACAGGAAGGAGGCCACAGTCAACTTTACTTCACTATGTGAAAATCAAAAGGACAGAGTATCGTTTTAATATGTGCAAAAAGAAAAGAACGTCCATTCACCCTGGATATTATGCTGATAAGGTCAACTGAGATTTCATTTCAGTCTTTGAAAACGGAATATAAGAATGTGTGAACAGAGCTAAGGATTTGCAAAAATAAACTTTAAACACCACCATAAACACACAGGTAATAGACTTTCTTTACCAATTTCAACCAGCCTCTGCAATTTCAAAACCCAAGATTTAATGGTAGAAATGAATAACATCTGGATAAAGACAAACGTAATGGGAACCACATGTACCATGTGGTGAGGAACAATTCATCCATTGACATAAATGAAAACAAACCTGGGCTGGAGTAAATTATGAAAGCCTAGTCTGGTTGTTAAGTCTTAGTTTTTGCTTTAATATGCATCTCCTCCACCCTTTTTAAAACCTTTTCACCCAAGGGTACCATAACTGCTTCTGCTTTGACTTACCATCTTACTTGAAATATTTACAAATTCACTGTACCCTTATCTTTTGTGAACAAAGGTTACTTACGTTTTCAGTTTTGGTGTCTCCTGCCTGACCTCAGAAAGTTACACAGACAACAGAAAGTGACTTGTAGTTTTCACTAATAAACAGACTCAGCCACTAAGATTCTGTCAGATGGCTGGTATTTTAGTTCACATTTAAGCAATCAGGTATTTTCAGGAATTCAATTTCTAAGTGTTTTCAGTATGAATACTTTAAATGTGCTAGAGAGATATATACACTTATTTTAATATTGTCTCATAAGCTGAAGTTCAAACTGTATTTGTGTAACAAAGAAAAATCTTGCTGGCCTAAAGGTAATAATTTGCATTGAGATTACTCTGCCCAGGACGATTTCTGATGTTAGGGCACAGAAATGAAAGCACTAACTCTTTGATGCCTGTAGTAAAAATTTTCGTAGGCTAAAGATAAAAAAAAAAGTTTCTTTAATTCTTTTCCCTAGCTATTTGCTTTAAATAATACTTTATTATTTCCCAGAAGTGTCCAATGACAAGATTAATCTGGGTCTCATATTAAAAATACAGATTACTGAATCCCACACCCAACTTCCAGAGTAGCCTGGGAATGTAATTTTAAGTACTTTCTCTGATTCTTTTTAGACATGCTGGGAATTGTACTTCCTCAAAAAACTATCAGTTCAGTAATTTGTTTCTCTCTTTCTGTCCCTCTCTTTGAAGGTAGGGAAGAGTGGTTTAACTATTTTAAACTGAAGCGCCAAAAAATATACTCTTAAACAAATCATTACTTTTAATGTTTCAGGATTGTTCCCTCATTTTGCTATTGGGTACTATTTGGGTACTATATTTCCTTACTGACTAAGCTTCCAGTTTGCAAAATTTTTAGAGGAAATGAATCAACTTAACTTTTGTGTGCAGACATGCATATATATGCATGTATACATACATGTGTGTGGGTTGTGCGTATTTTCACTGCATCAATGCCCAGTATACCATATTATAAAAAGTCAAGTAAGGAGGCAACAGTCATAAAACTGATTCATTTATGTGAGGAGTTCTAAACTACTACTGTTCAACTTTCAAAATGTGTCCATTTTCAAGGGAAGTGATCATATTTGACAGAATTTGATATTCCAGTAAAGGCAGAGTATGATCTATTTTGTGGTTGAACTATTATGAAATAATAGTGGCCACTACACTTTTTTCTCTTAGTATTTAAGTGTCTTCAATAGAAATTTCGAAAACACAGGCTACAGAAATATGTAAGCATACCTCTCAAGGACTAGAGTTCATAAAGTTACCAATCTATGTGATTCTATAAATCCTCTAAAATAATCTTTATACAATTTCTTAAGTCCTTCCAATTGCCTTACAATTGAGCTGAGAAGATTTTAGGAGCTTTATTAAAACAAATAAAAACAAGACCTGAGACTATCTGGCTAATGTAAAATCCCTAAATCCTCCAAGTTCTATAATCTAGCTTTCTTGTGAATTGTCATTTAAATATATCATTATATGCTACCCTCCAGACTGAAGTTATTATTTCTGCTACATCTAAATAGTCTTTTCAATATTCAGAAATGGTTAAAATGGGAAATTAAAAATGTTTATGAATTTGGTTTTTAGTCATTTGATTCTCCAACTAAGAAACATTATGGCAATTAGCTCTAATGTAATAGTGGGGATCAGCCAAGAGTCTCTATATAAAAATTCAGGAAAGTTTGTCAGTAATCACCACTTCTAAATATTTATATCTTTTCAAAGTTTTTCAACCCTAAAGGCACCATTAGCAAATACATAGTATCACAGACCCACCAAAATAACCCCAAAGGAAAATATGGTAAGGTCACAGTGGGCTCCCTAGCCTATTTACAGGCTGAGTATTTGCTCACAAGAGCACAGTGGTAACAAGCAAATTGATCTCAGTCTTTAGGCTAGTGATTGATAAAAGTGAAAGATAAACTTCAAGAGTAGAAAATAGGGATTACAAACACAAGCCTCCCTCTTAAATACAAAGCCCTTAAGAACAGCAGATAACCCTCTGCTCTTAAGTAATACAGGTATATACATGGTCGTCTTATTTTGGAAAGGTATAAAACCTATGCATTTATGCAGTTACATTTATATGACAGTTGCTGCCTGTTAAACATGCCAAAAACATTATATATAGATAAAGCCAACAGTAATCCTCTTTACAGTTGCCTCAACTGCATTCACAGAAACTGCAGATCCTAGGTTTACTAACATTATAAACCTACCTAATTTTGTTAAGGATATCAATTCCAGACTGCTCCAACAGGACATTTTTAACAAAGGTACGTGGAATGGAAATCTTTTCGGTGCTGGCATGAATCAAGTCTTGCCGAATGTGGGCTTTTTTCATCACATTGGGACAAAGATTCTCGGCAGCATCAACCATGGACTCAAGCAATGCCTGCAATGCAGCACAAGTGGAGGGGAAGAGATGATGACACTGCACCAGAGGCACCCGCCATAAAACTGAAAGGTGGTTATATATGACACTGTGGCCTCAGAGAACAAGGATACAATAGAGTCCCGGGGTGCAGCCAGAGATTCTGAGCTGCCCCAGGGTGACTTGAAACTGTTGGATGGTCATTGATCTCTGGCAGTCACTTTAAATCAGACACTTGGCAGAACTATGCAAGCTCCACGCTGGCATCCGAAGTGTTATGGCGTGGCAGCTGTTCTTAACAAAACCGTTAGCAGATTAAAAATTACAAATATCAAATACAAAGCCTTCATATCCCAACTTACCACATTAGATTATTCTCCCTGGTACTAGAAAATAATGTCACAGACATCCCTAGAAAATATATCAGATTTGAAAGCTTGTGAGATTTCACAATTCACAGAAACCCGAAATTAGGGTGAACTATTCAACTGCTCAATCAAAACAGCAGTAGCAGAAAAACCATAGAAACTACTGCCAATTTTATTCTTTTAAAAGAAAAGTCTTAGTATCAGGTAAGATAATAATTATTATGACAACAACAAACAACATGAGAAATAAAAACATTTACAGAGCACTTTATAAACAACAGTAATAGTAACAGTCAAAACATATTTATATTGTACTTTAGAGTTTGAAAAATGTTTCTGCACATTTCATCCCTCCAACATCTGTGGAGATGGGTAGAGCAGCTATTCATGTGATCACCATTTTATAGTTGAAGAATGTGAGCTAAGGGCAGTTAAGCGATTTGCCTGAGATGGATGATATAGCTGCAAAGTGTGGAAAGGGCATCAGCATTTGTGTCAGACCTAAATTTGAAACCTAGCCGAGTAACACTGGGCAGTTACCAATCTCTCCATTCTATTTTTTTTGCCTATAAAACGGCAATAAAAAGTTCCTGCTTCATAGGATTATTGAGGATTAAGAAGTATTACATACCTAAAGTGTTCAGTAGAGTGTCTAGCACACAATAAAATTTCAGTGCATCACAGATTTTATTATTACTCTGATTTCAAAGAGTGTTCTTCATAATAACCCAGTTTTTTAAAACCAAGCTTGGACCCTATTACTGTTCCAGTGTGAACAAGGACGACTGAAGCACTAATTCTGAAAGACTAGTAGAGTGGTCTATCTGTTCACATTTCAAATGCAAAGCACAATTCCACTAGTAAAATTTCTCATTACACTGCAGGATGAGCAGTAAAGTAGCAAGCTGTTTATAAGGATCATGTCGAAACAAGGGGAAGAGAGGTGGGAAGCAGCCACTTGATTTGTGTCCAAAAGCCATTCCTATTTCAACAATGCTTTGTCCCTATTACAACTCTGATTGAATAATCACTGAATTAGCACATTATTCCAAGAAAGCTTTATACCAACCATCTGCAAGAGATACAAATAAGTCGGTTTAAAGCAAATTATTTTCCTCTTTGACAACAGAATAAACACATCCTATTCCAGGTGGAGTAATAGTCCAGTACTCCTGATAGGAACAACCACAAGTATCAATACTCCATTTTAATTCTATCATGTTCCTTAACATATCAGTTACTTTCTGAAAGGTCTCCTTGCATTACAGTGCTAATTCAGTTCCAGACCTAAAGAGAGGAGGCCTCGCTTCCAGGGTAAGCCTTGACATAAAATTTCTGTGGAATGTTATGTGAGTTGAAAGATGTGAATAGTCTTTGAAAATCTCTAGGTTCTCATCTATAAAGTTATTTATGCAAGGTCTCTTTCTGGTCTGCAAATCTATGATTGTATAACTTTCACTATGTAAAAAAGAAATTTTAGTCTGACTTAGACATTCAATTCATGAGACATTTGCAGTTAGTTACCTTCCATCACTTCTACCCCAACACTGACCAACAGTATAGTGTAGCACTTTACAATCCACAAAGTAATTTCATCCAGGATTTCCTTTAATCCATATAACAACTCTGTAAATGAAGGCAGATTTTAGCATGCCCATTTTATAGATGAGAAAATTGGGATTCAAAGGTGATAAGTGACTTGCTCAACAGGTGAGGGCTCAGGTCTTCTGTTTTCTACTCCTATTTCCTAATCTGGCTGCCCGTGTCAAATGTCCCTGGATCAGAGTCCAAAGGAATATCCCTTTCCTCTCTGTTTCATTATCTGTAAGTTTCTTTCCCCATTCCCTTGAGTCAACAGTATCTAGGGCTATTAGGGTGAACTTTATGGTTGGCAGGACTGGGGGAAGAAAGAAACACAGCATCTCCTTCCATGTCCCATGGCTCTCTGCTCACCAGACCTGTTCTTCAACATTCATCCTTCTCATGGCTTCAAATTACTACCTATATTCCAGTGAGTCTCAACCAGATGTTTATCTACAGTCACCTATATAAGACATATGATATTATACCTGAGCACTACAGCCTAGTGAGCATTTTCACTTGGATATTCTATCATGGAAAGGTCAACTGCACCATGTGTTGTCCTCCCATCCCCCACCCAGACAATAACAACTACAACAGCAAAATCAACAATTCTTGCTAAGTTTTTTATTGTGAAGAATGGCACCAAATTAGGTCAGAAATTTGTGATTCTCCCTAGAAGCTATCTACCTCAATCCCTTCCACCACATCTGTCTCCAAAACATGTTAAATTTATTCCTGTATACTTCCCCAAAAGTGTAAATATACCAACACTGTTATTCTTTATACAGAATCAAAACCCCTGAAGATGCTGAACTTCCCAGCCTCATTTCTTGCCATCTATCTCTGTATTTCCTTTATAACTATTCATAACCCAACTACAGTTGCAGTTGCCCACATGATCTAGGCTGTTACCACGCTTTACACGCTGTTCGCTTTGCTTAGTTTCCTCTGTAGCCAGAGCAAGTCATCTGTATTCCTCTATACTCAGCTCAATATTTCTCTTTGGGAAGACTCTCTTTCTCGTCCTGCTCTCTTCCCACTCCAAGCTGTATTTGATAATATATACTTTTTGGTGATGCCACTTTTCCTACCCATAAGCATATTTTAATTTGTTTTACATTTTCTTTGAAGTCCTTAAATCAACACTATTGAGGTGTTATGCATCTTTGTTTAACTTACTTCCTAGGTACTTTGGGTTTTTCTGTTGCTATTTTAAATGGTGATTATTTTTAGCAACATTTTCTAACCAACTGTTGCTGACATGTAGAAATGCAACAGATTTCTGCATATTGCTCTATCTCCAGAAGCTTCATCATACCAATCAATTATTTACCTGCAGATTCTTTGGGGTTTTCTTTCTTTTTTTTTTTTTTTTGAGTTGGAGTCTCACTCTGTCACCCAGACTGGAGTGCAGTGGCCGCTCCCAGCCACCGCAGCCTCGACCTGCTGGGCTCCGGCGATCCTTCTGCCTCAGCCTTCCAAGAAGCTGGAACTACAGGCATGTGCTACCATGCCTGGCTAATTTTTTATTTATTGTAGAGATGAGATCTCACCAAGTTGCCCAGGCGGGTCTCGAACCCGCGGGCTCAGACAATCCACTCACCTCAGCCTCCCAAAACGCTGGGATTACAGGCTGAGCCACTGAGCCTGGTTTCTTTTGGGTTTTCTATGTAGGCCATCATAAAATCTGCAAATTATGATAATTTTTCTTCCTTTTTAATTCTATTCATTAATTTTGCTTGTCATATTGACTGGCTAAGACATTCATTACAAAGCTGAATAAGAATGGTAATAATAAACATCTATGCTTATTCCTGATTTTAAAGAAAATATTTCTTTCCCATTTCAACAAATTTCAGATCTACAAAAAGTTGAAAAAATAGGACAATAAACTTCCATAACCCTTCTCCTAAAATTTAAAAATTGCTAATATTTAATTCACAACATTTGCTTCTCCCTTTCTTCCATATATTTAGAGTCTCTGGCTACACTTAAAATGTGCCTAGTGCAACTGAGAAACCGAATTTTCAACTCTACTTAATTTCCCTTGGTTTGAATTAAAATGACAACATGTGATTAATGGGTGATACACTGGACAATGCAGTTCTAATGTTGAGCTCTTAACTCTCTCTAGAATAAAACTAGGACCCTGAACTGCTTTAACTCACTCCCTACTAACTTATATGCTTACCGTAGCATTTTATTTGCTTTTTAAAGGTTTATAGCACATTAGACATTAATGTCATTGCTTTATATAGTCACAGTTCTCTTTACCCATACTTGGCATCTTTCCTGCTCATTATTCTTTATTGCAGGTCAGATACTTCTTCTTTGACAATTTTTCTTTTGTCTCAAACTATATCCTTTAGATTTTTTTTTTTTAGTGTTGTCATGACACTAAACTATGTCAGTTTTTGTCCTGATAAATACATCTTTATTTCATCTTCATTCTTAAAAAATAAGTCTATTAGGTATTTCTAGGTAATTCTAGGTTGAAAGTTTATGTTCTAAGAAGTTTAAAGGCATTTCATTGTCTCTTGGCCTCTATTAACTGTTGAAAAGTGAGCTGTCAGTCTTAAATTGGTCTTTTTGAAATAATAAAAAAAAATCCTCAGTCCTCCACCCTGGTCTCCTTTTAAGATCTTCTCTTTTTCTTCAGTGGTTTTCACTTTTCATTATGACCATTCTTTAATATAATCTGCTTAGGTTAAACTGGGCTTCCAGAATCAGAAGGTTCTGGTCTTTCATCAGTCTCTGAAATTCTCAGCCACCATCTCTTCAGTTATTGCCTTCCTCTGTTCTCTCTCTTTTTTCCCTTCTAGAAATCTAAATTAGGCTTATAGTAAACTTTCTCACTCTATACATGTTTCTTAACTTTTCTTACATATTCTCCATTTTGTTAGTCTCTTGTGTTTTACTAACTTTAGACAACTTGCAGTGAACAAGCCATGTATTTGAAACATGATCATCAGATTTCATTTTGTATATATCTTCCTGATGACAGTTGTAAGAATCTATTTCTTAACTGTAAAAATAGCAAATGGTACTTAGGAAACATGTATAATATTTATAAAATAAATTGGATTAATATCCTTAACACGGCAGCTATACTCATATATTCTTGCAGTGAGCCAATAACTTACTGTAATTCATTATAAGCAAATACAACTTCCATACTAAAGTGCCCTGAAATTTTCCTCTCTTTTGCTTTGGAAAATATAAAGTGTAAGAGGAAAGAAAAAAATAAAACCTCTGAGAACATTTCGGGCCAAACTGAGTTAATAGTTGACAAAATGCCACCTAGCCCCCTCAGGTCTTATATTATCCTAAGTAAATTTGAAATTTACCAGGGAAGTATTTTAGCACTTAAGCCCTGAGCAAAATCAGGAATTTCCCAGGCAAAGCAAACAACCTAAAATTTAAGTCAAAAAGGGAAAAAATGAAAGTTTCCTTATGTTAAAACATTCAAATCCACTTACTCATCTACTATTACTCCAGGAACAAATGCTAGGATCAAAAGAGGGAAAACAGGAAGAGAGCTGTCATTTTAAAACACCTAAAAGAGGCCAGTCCAGAGAAAACATCTCTTTCAGAGAAGGAATTTCCCCAAACTTACTGCTCCAGGAAGTTTGCTAAGAAGGCTGGCTTATCTGGCTATATCTTTTGCTTTTTGAAATAATACCTTGGAGAGATGGCTCAAAGAGCTACTTGAGTTTAATCTCCTCCAATATTCAAAATGTCTATCAAAGGCATAGGACAACTGAGTATTAAAGCTGGAATGGATCCCTCTGAGTATCATGAGGCCAAGACAATTTTGCATAAGGAAACTTGGTCAAAATGTTAGGCAACTTGCTTAGAGGACATAGTTAGGTAGTAGCAATCCTGGAACACAAATCTAGGCCTGCTAGTTTTCCTCACTGCCCCCAACACTCCATTTCCTATAATAAAAACTTTTATTATATTTTACAAAATAACAATTTCTTAAGCAAAATAATCTATCTGCTTTAGCTTTTGCTAGTATAATATTAATTTTAGAGAATGTGGGGAAAAAAGGACTCTTTTAAACCAGAAAAATTTGATACTAGTAGTAAAATAAATAATAAGTGCAATAGTTTAATAAAAAACTGAATACAGATTAAAAATATTTTTTCTTATATAATTTTAAGAAAATCAATGCATTGGAAGGTTATATAATTAGACAAATGAATTTTTTTGTTTTTTTTTTTTAATTTTGAGTCATAGTCTCACTCTGGTGCCCAGGATGGAGTGCAGCGGCATGATCATGACTCAGCAGCCCCAATCTTCTTGGCTCAGGAGATCCTTCTGCTTTAGCCTTCCAAGTAGCTGAGGCCACAGTCACGCACCACTATGTCCAGATAATTTTTTGTAGAGAAGAGGTCTAGCTATTTTGCCTAGGCTGGTCTCAAATTCCCAGGCTCAAGCAATTCTCTCACCATGGCCTCCCAAAGTACTGGGATAATAGGCATGAGCCACTGCACCTGGCTGATTTTTTTTTTTTAATAATAAAAGAATGTTCACTTGTCAGGTAAAATGGAAGGAAATAGAAAAGAGAAGGTTTTGGTAAAAGATTAACTCTGATTAATGTCAGACGTCCCCAAAGGGAAAGAAACTTTAAACTCTGAAGGATTGAGAATAACAGAAACAAAAAACTAGGGAACGGGGGGGAGGGGGGGGGGGAGGAGCCATTTGGAGGCTTAGGACCTCAGAGATAGTGATAATGAGAGAAAAGCATGTTATATGACTGACAAATAAGGAAGCAGTGATGATTGGAGAACATGGTGACATTTAACAAGGGATCAGAGAAATCAATGTCAAGAAAATTTAGGGAATGCCTATTTACAGAAAAATATTTTGGGTTCTAAAATATTTATATTATTTTAGGCTTTTAAAAGTTCAAATCCCTTTTACTTCAAATACCTGTCTTCTACTCACTCCTAAGAAAAACTGTCAAGAGTCCATTTCAGCCATTCTATGCAATGAGAAGGAAATGGACATCAAAGGTTTAAGAGACAAGTAGTCATGTTGAAATACCAATTGACAGTTTGAAGCTGTTTGATAGGGAAGGTCCTGTTGCAATGTTTCACGTTGATTTACATGCCAGCCAATTCTTAATATTAAGTTCTTACTAATATTTTAGTTACAAAATTAGGCAATGAATACAAATAGATAATTTACAAAGGAAGAAACACAAATGGATAATAAAATGACTTCATGTATCCCACTGGGTTACTGAAGACATTGAAAAGACATAATGAGATTGTTTTCCCAGGACACTGAAAAAGATTAAAAGGCTAATAAACTTAGTATTGCTGAGGATGTGGTGAAATGAGCAATTGCTCACACCAGTGAAGAGCATTTTGTGAATACATATCAAAGTATAATGCCTATGTACTATTTGGCCTAGCAGTGGATCACTACAGAAGTTTACTCTAACAGAATTAATCAGAAATTAGAAAATAAATTATAGCTAATACATCCATACAATGGGATACCACACAGCCATTAGAAACAATGATTATTCATCAACTGAGATTATATGACATACCAACTATACAAAGTCTACTATTATTCAGTGTGTATAATATAATCACTTATATGTAAAATTGTGAGTGTAGCCACAGAATGTCTGGAAATTCACTAAAATTTAGCAATGATGCTGTATCTGGGATTTGGGGTGATTTTTACTTTCTTTTTTCCCCCATGTTATCATTTAAACATTTGATAAAGAGTTTCCTCTTTTTACAGTCAGAAATAAGCAACAAAGCTGATTTTATTCTTCATGAAGGATAAAACAAATACTATTAGGTAACAAATGGTCTGGCAGAACTCTGTCCCAACCAACTACCAACTATCCTTTTATTACCCATCTGCTTAGAAGGAATTAAAATAAACAGTTTAAAAAATGAAACACATAGTCTCTCTCTATTATATGTACAGGAAGACTGGAGCTTACAGTTCTAAAAAAAAAAAAATCCACATTTTTCTCCCTCATCAACTTAATTTTCAAAGTGAATAATTAACAAGCTACAAAGTTATTACTGGATTGCACATCAAATCCCTGTGAGCTGCAGTCATTGTGTTCTCAGAAGAAAACAGATCGAATAATTACAGAAATCTAGACATAGTTTTTAAAAACATCATTGTGAGGCAGATTGGAAATGATGAAGACTTTCTGAATGTGAAGTTTATCTGGGGTAGCTGTGTTTTGAAGTTACCTCAGGAAAAAGTTGGTCTTAGGTTATATTACCTCCCTAAAATTTCAGACTTCTTTTCTAACTTTTTTTCAGTCAGTGGACATATAGGCAGTTCTCTGCTACCCCAGCTACCTTCTAATTGCATTCTAAATGTTCTAGTCTTTCAAACAGTTACTTACAAGGAATGTTATTTAATTATCTAGTAGCAGACTCCCCATATAGGCAGCATCTAATACTGTAAACATAGTTTCTATCATCCAATACTATAAACATAGTTCCTATAACCTTTCCCATTCTCTAAATCAAATGTAATATAAGAAGACTTTTTTTTCCCAAAAGCATACTTCTTTTTCTTTCCTCTGAGTAAAAATAATCATTCCTTTATCAGTGGCAACTCATCATATATATTAAGTACTTTTACGGGTTTACCATTGAAAATTAAATTGATTTTTACTTGAATTCATTATGTAAGAACTTATAAATGTAGCTGGAAAAGACAAAGGATTCAACTTTTACCACATGTGCACCTGTGCTGGATGTGCGCACACAAGTCTACAAAACACAGTTAGTGATGGTATGAAGTGCTGTTACAAATAATCAAATCATAACAATTTCAATTCCCAGATAGCAAAACTCACAAACCTTTAGTTGTTCATCTACTACTCTTGTAACTTCTCCAGCCATTGATTCCAGGGTTTCCTGAATTGGACTGGACAACAAGCCACTGGCTCCAGCCCAAGATGTACCACCAACATGGTATAAATTTGGTAACAACTGTCAGAAAAATAAAAGTAACCTCTTATAACTGAATAAATATTTCAATAAGCACCAAAGTCATTGCAGAATTCATGAAAAGGGTGAAAAAATATTATTAGGAATAATCTATACTCAATCAAAGGCCCTTAGCACAGGTTAATAATTGAGGTCCAGACCTTGGGCATTCATTTCTATTAACTGAGTCAACGCAATCCTAAGAAACACTAGACTAGGAATTAGAAGAACTCCATGTGACCTCTTCTATCTTTTAAGCAGTTCTGAAATCATAGGAACAATACATTACCCTATCATGTGTTAATATTTTCATCTGGAGTATGAGAGCTGAGATGCTTTTACTCACATTTCTGCCACCAAAAGTGTACAGGTTTGCCACACCAGGCAAGTCTTCAATTCTTTGAATACACCAATTGGGTGTCCTACAATTCATTCAGTTGTATCACTATCTACCTGGAGTTAACATCAGAGCCCACAAGTGAAAGGTTCAGTCCCACAAGGTTACCCCTACTTCAGATGCCAGTCCCAGGTTGCCACTAGTACTTCTGACCAACTGGTTATAAATTTATGGGGTTCCCACAACCCCCTCCTCAGGTTCCATAATTTGCTAGAACCACTCAAGAACTTAGAAAAGCATTTTACTTACTATTAATAGTTTATTATAAAGGATATAACTCAGGAATAGCCAAACAAAAGAGATGCATAGGGCAAAGTATGGGTGTGGGGAGGGTTAGGAGCTTCCATGCCCTCTCCAGGTACATCACTCTTCCAGGACCTTGGTAAGTTCATCAAGCTCTTTCAACCCACTGTTTAGAGATCTTATGGTGGCTCCATTACACAGACATGACAGATTAAATCACTGGCCACTGGTGACTGAACTCATCTTCAACTATTCTCCCCTCCCAGGAAGTCCAGGGATGGGAAGGAAAGATTCAACTCTCTAATCACATGGCTGTTTCCTCTGGCAACCTCCACTATCCTGAAGCTATCTAGAGGTACACAAAGAGTCATCTCATTAGGACAAACCCTGGTGTGGTGAAAGGGGCTTGTTATCAATGACAAAAGATGTTCCTATCATCTCTGTCACTCAGGAAATTACAGAAGTTTTAGAAGCTCTGCATCAGGAAACAGGGACAAAGACAAAATATTAAAAAGATGCTCCTATCACCCCTTTCACTCAGGAAATTACAAGGGTTTTAGGAGCTCTGTTCCAGGAACTAGGAACAAAGACCAAATATATATTTTGCATTGCACCACAAGGGAATCTGGCTAATCTACAAGGTTCTTCATACTCATGACATGCAATGATGGTGTGAGTCTAATAGCAAAAACAAAACCAGATCCTAGTCTTTCTGACCCACAGTTAAGTTCTTTTTCTATTGAATCACACTTTGAGAACCAAAGTTTAATGTGAGAGAAGCTTCCTTTTAATGGTGACAGAGAAGAGTTTCATGTTTTTAGCTTAAAAGTAGAATAATTTTCAATGAGTTATTACTCATTTCAACTACAACTTCCTCTCAGTTATGCAGGGCCCAATCACACCCTCTGTAAATCACACTGGCCCTCTGCTGTTTACTCTGCACTGTGATTACTGGTAATCAGCACAGGTACAGAAAGGAGGCAAATACTAATTCAGTTCAATTTCCCTCTTGTTAGTAACCCAGAATTGGTTTTCAAAACTGAATTTTACAAAATCTTTTTATTGCTCCTTAAGGGAAACTCACCGTTTTAGAATTCTTAGCATCACGCATGAGCCGTTCAGCTGATTTTAAATCTTCCTGGATAGCATCTCCCCCACAATTTCGTAAGGAGTTGAGATGATCTTGTACTTTCACACATATTCTGTCAATCATCTGCCCCAAGAAAAAAGTGAGCATCCAAGTCAGTTCAACCAATATTGAGATGGAAGGAAACGGAGAATGAAGGATGATGAAAAAACTTCAGGAAACACAGAATGCATGAGGATGGAAACTTCTTCTAACTGAAATCTTTGAGAATGCAGCTTATAGCCAATTATTAATTTGCTTTAGCTACTCATGCAAGAAGCCTTTGGCAACATTAACTCCAGAAAAACATTTAAGGCATTTTAGTTTCCTTTCCTGCCTTAGGAAATGCAGTCTGTAGAACAAAAGGAAACACTTCTTGGTGATTAAGGATCATATAGCTTCTCATTTTGCTATATAGTAACTCTCCTTGATTAACTTTTCACGAGTGTCCTTTATGCATCAGACACTAAGTTAGGTACTGAGGAAACAGAGAAATAAAATATGCAAAGTTGAGACTGTTACAATGACTACAATATCATGCACATAGTCAGTTGGCCTCAATATTATAGAAACGAAAACATCCTTTGAAAAAACTGTTCTATATAAATTAAGAGCCGCCAAAAAAACAAAATCAAGTTGAGGTTTATTATACTAACTTGGGCAAATATAAAGTTAATAATATCTAGTTTCGATTCCAGTAAGACCCTCTCTTCCCTGGATTAATCACACCTGAATCATTTTCAATTGTTTCATGGATATAAATATAAAACACAAAGGGAAATAGTAGATCACCATGGTAGAAAAAAATATTATAGAAGGATAAGATTATGCTCTTCTATATTTGTGCTTATACCGAAAAGCATTGAGAAAGCCAAGAAGTCTGGGGGTGGGCGAAGTTAACCACTGTGTGGCCTAAAAAGTTTCTCCAATATTTTTATCAAAGCTGTAGGTAGTCTCTTTCATGTTCTTAAAAAAATTATTAATTCTTCAAGACTTTAGATGTCAAGAATTCCATTCTATCTGATAATTCATTTGGCAGAAGAGACAAACTAACAATATTTTGGTGAAATTCCGACTTCACTATCTATTTTGAATTATTTGATATCACAACTATAGGAAGACAAAGTCTGCCCTTCTTCCCACATAAATTTCAAAATGATAGAAACTTTACTACACTACTCAGAAGACTTAAGGTCTGATTACATGTCTCCTTGCTACAGCACTGCTATCTCTCTTGTCTTCCTCCTTTGTAAAATCAGGTTCATAATGTCTACTCCATCTTCTTTTCTAGTGTATTATGAAGACAAGTCAGTAAAATAACATCACTCAGAGCACCTATTCTGTTGACAAAGGGTCAGTAATATCAGTATTGATGTATGTTAAGTACAGCCCCTGTTGCTGCAAAAGATATTGAGGCTAAGTATGTGAACTATTTTGAGTGCCATAGGAAAAAGGAGTTATACAAATTACACTTCTTATATCATATTTTCTCTCTGATTAAAATCTAAGCTTGTAGGAAGGAATCACATCTTACCTTTCTGAATTTACACAATGCACTGCATAGAGTTAACCATGTTTTTAAAAGTCTTGATTGAGGTAAATTCTAACTCTTCTAACTATTGAATTGATCTGTGCTTCCTGAAGCAAAAATGATCACCAATAATTTATATCTCACCAAAAATGAATACTTAATTTCAAGAGACCAACCACACACAAGGAAAAGAACTGATATATATCTGGAGCCAGAAAAGGCTAATTTGAGAGGCATGTGGAGTAGATTAAAGCTGATCATCTTTAAGCATGAGATACCAAAGAGACTCCTTAAATGTGTGCCATTAAGCATTCACCAAGGAGAGAGGGATGAAATTAGCTCAACAAAAATAGTCTTTAAATGGAACTTTTAAAAAATAACATCCAAAAGAAATATAAAAATTTAGTTCTTCAATTCAAATAAGTAACTTATAAATAGGTAGATTTCCCTCTACTGGCAATCCTTTCCTTACAGTATTATGATAATTGTTCAAGGTCCACCTATGAGTGAGAACATGTGATACTTTAGTTCTTTGTTTCTGTGGTAAATCGCTCAGTATTATAGACTCTAAGTCCATCCAAGTTGCTGTGAAGTTCATAATTTTGTCCTTCTTTATGGCTGTGTAATATTCCATCATGTATATGTATTACATTTTTTATCCAGTCCTTTTTCAATGGGCAGTATGGTTAGTTCAAAGTTTTTGCTGTTTTGAACAATGCTGCAATAAACATATAGGTGAAAGAATCTTTTTCATAGAGTGATTTGAGATCCTCCAGGTATATTCCCAGTAGGGGTCATATGGAAGGTCGATTTTAAGATCTTTTAGGAATCGCCAAACTGTTTTCCACAGAAGTTGTATTAGTTTACACTCTCAACCAACAGTGTAGATGTATTCTCCTTTCCCTGCATCCTCTCCAGCATCTGTTGTTTTTTGAGTTATTGATGATGGCCATTCTGACTGGAGTTATGTAGTATCTCAGAGTGGTTTTAATTTGCATTTCTTTGATGACTAGTGAGGTTGAGCATTTTTCGTATATTTGCTGGCTGCTCATATGTCTTCTTTTGAGAAGTGTCTATATATATCTTTTGCCCACTTTGTAATGGAGCTGTTTTTTTCTTTACAGCACATTTGAGTTCCTTGTAGATCCTAGATGTTAGGCTTTTGTCAGATATACAGTTGGTAGTATTTTTCCCAGTTCTGTGGGCTGTCTCCCTGATTTCTTGATGGTTTCTTTGGCTGTGCAGAAGCTTGTCAGTTTGATGAGGTTCCACTTGTCTAACTTATCTTCTATGGCATGGACACGGGGTTTTGATCAGGAATTGGTTGCCTGTTAAAATTTCCACAAAGGTGTCTCCTACATTTTCTAAGGTTCTTATAGTTTGGGGTTTTACGTTTAGGTCTTAGATCCGTTTAGAGTTGATTTTTGTATATGGTGATAGGTTAATCTTGTTCCAATCTTCTACAAGTGGACAACCAGTTTTCCCAACACCATTTATTGAACAGGTTCCCCTCTCCCCAGTAGTTGGTGGTGGAGGCTTTGTTGAAGATGAGTTGGTTAAGGAATTCCAGAATTGCTTCTGGAATCTCTATCCTGTTCCATTGGTCTATATGCTTGTTCTTGTACCAATACCAGGCTGTTTTGATTATTGTCGCTTTATAATAAAGCTTAAAGTCTGGGAGCATGATGCCTCACGCTTTTTTCTTTCTTTTCTGAGGATTGTTTTGGCTGATCATGGTCATTTATGTTTCCATATAAATTCCTGTATTGTCCTTTCCAGGTCTGAGAAGAATGCTGCTGGTAATTTAATAGGTATTGCATTAAATCTGTGGATTGCTATGGGTAGGATAGACATCTTAACAATGCTGATTCTTCCAATCCATGAGCATGGAATATTTTTCCATTTGTTTGTATCATCTTTGATTTCCTTGAGCAGTGTTTTGTAGTTTTTATTGTAAAGGTCTTTCACATCTCTGGTTAGGAAGATGTCAAGGTATTTCATTTCTTTGTGTGTGGTTATTGTGAATGGGACTGTGCTTTTTATTTGGATTTCTGTTTGTTTATTGTTGATGTAAAGAAATGTGACTGCACATTTTGCACATTTTGCACATTTATTTTAAACCTACTTAGACTTTTTCAAATATATCAAGCTATTAAACCCAAGTGTAGGACTTAAAACTATCAGTAATAAATATTATCTTTGGTAGCGCGCAACAAAAGTTGTGACCAACAGTTGTCACAACTGTTCTTAGTTCCAGCAAACAGCCTATTCATAGAAATTTTTATCTTTTTCCTGCCTATTTCTTCAGTTAATTCAAGAGAGATATACTGGACACCTGGCACAGAGGAGATACAGTCCTAAATAAAATATACCCCTTGTCATTAAGCAACATCAAAACCAGAAGTGAAAAGAAATATTCACAATTAACGGTAGCACAAGATATAAAGTGCTGCATAATATAATATCCATAAAGACATGAACATTTTATTTTCTTCACTGCTGAATTCTTATTTTCTACAATGGTGCCTGCCATATCACAGATGCTTATAAGCATTCATCATTGATAAATACTTTATCATTTATCATTGATAAATGAATGACAGAAACATCTGAAAAATTTCAGCCAAAGGAGGAATCACACCTAGCCGAGGTTGAAGATAACATTTTAGCTGGGTCCTAAAAGATTTCTACATAATGAGAAAAGACAAGGAAATTTTAAGCAAAAGAATGAACTCAAGCAGTAGCACACCCAGACATGTGTGATTCCTACTTCCTGGTTAGAAACGGAAGTATCATATACTGGGAGATCAAATTGGAATGTTAAGTGAAGATAAGACGGTATGGACTCCAGCACAGGCTAAAAGGTTGAATGAGTGTCTAAGGCACAAAGCACTACTTTCCCAGTTCCTCCCACAGTTGTGAGGGTCTAGAAATCCCTGGGTTAATAACACCTGCAGTGGCTCAGCTTCTCTGATACAAAAGATATGGGCTATGGGAAGCAGAGGAGACATCCAAGATGGAAAAATTTATTGTTGTTAAAAAAAAAAAAGGAAATAGGAAGAAGTTAGTAAAAAAAAAAAAAAACAAAACAAAACAATAAAAAACCATAGTAAGAGGACTAATAGTAGAATTTGAAAGAAAAACATGGATGCAAAAGAGTTCTCAAAGAACAAGGCATAATAGGCACTGGATGAGGAAAGCAAATAAAGAGTACGAGATGACTCTAAGGGGTCTACCTCAGTGAATGATGATGTCACTGAGAAAAATGGCAAAATGGGGAGTTTAAAAGGATGAGTTTGGTCTTAATGACTCTGATATCTCAGAAGGCCATAGCGGTAAATATGCTAAAAATTTAATTGAAAAGACAGAGCTCTCTGAAAAGAAACAGAAACTGAAGGGACAGATCTAGATGTCATCCACAAATGAGAGAAGTAGATTAGATAGCAAAGGGAAAGAACACTAAGTGCAAAGCCTTGAAAAAATGTTGCACTTGGGAGCTGAAAAGAGAAAAAGTTGTACAGAAAGGAGGCAGATAAAACACAAGATCAGCAGAAAG